ACAAGATTAGAAACATATGTACAATATGTTTTTACTAATTAATTTCAAATTTGTATCAATATACAATATTTGTATACAAATACAAAAGTCAAATCCAATGTAAAATATTTAAAACTAGTAGTTGCTTTTTAAGATTAGATTCAATAATCTGCTTTTTTTTATTTCCTTGGGATTAAAGGTGTGCACTGACACACCTGGCTCTCATTTGTTATTTTTAAACATTGTCTTACTATATAGCTCTAACTAGACTGGAATCTGCCAAATTTGAGACCAGACTGATCTCAAACTTGCATTGATTCTACTGCTTGTGCTTCCCAAGTGCTGGGACTGCAGGTGGTGTGTCACCACACTAGATTAGTTTATATTTTTTGTTTATAGCCCAATAGTTCTCTAATGTGTTGCTTACATTTTCTGTCTGTGACTCTTGAAGGGTCTTTCAGTTGACTCCTGTGGCCCTCTGTCTTAGTGACTTTTCTGGGTACTGTGACAAAATACCTGCCCAAAACAACTTAAGTAAGGAGGGATTTATTTTGGCTTATAGTGTGAGAGGTACAGCATCCATCATGGTGGAGAAATCATGGTGCAGGATCATGAGGCAGCTGGTCACATTGCATTCACAGTCAGGAGTCAGAGATGGATGAATGCTTGTGCTCAGCTTGCTTCCTCTGCTTTTCTTTTTTTCTCTTTTTTTGTCTGGGTCTGAGCCCATGGAATGTTGGTCCTTACAATTAAGGTGGGTCTTCCATTTTCTAGATAATCCCTCGAAAGCATGCCCAGAGGCTTGCTTTTTCAGTGATTTTATATCCTGCCAAGTTGACTTGTTAATTATCATGTGCCCTTTTAAATTTTATTTTATGTGTATGGGTGTTTTTGCCTGCAAGTATGTCCATGCACCACTTGTGTGCCTGAGGCTAGAAGATGATGTCCAATCCTCTGGGACTGGAGTTACAGACAGTTGTGAGCCAACATAGGCCCTTTTAAAGAATTGTTTTTTGACACTGTATAGGGAACCCATGGCTTCATGCATGCTAGATATATGTTCTACCACTGATCTTTGATCCAAGCCCACTTTTGTATCCACTTGGTACCTCCTCCATCACTTGTTTGAGCATGTTCTTGCTTTCTGGCTGCATGCCCAGTTTACATATTTCCTGTTGTGGATCTTGAATGTACCATTTTCTCAAGGAGTAGTTCACTGGGAATGCCCATTGCTGTAGACTAGTGTTTCTGGGTCCTCTTGGCAGACAGAGCATGGAATCTTGCAAATGTCATTACCCTATACATTATCTATAAATAGACATGCATTGGTGTCTTTATTAAGCTAAATAGGAATTCAAATTGATGTCCCCTGACTCTAATCCATTACAATGGGGATCATTCTATCCTCTTTGGTTTGCAAACAACCTGGCTTCCACCTTTGGCCACCAGGTAGAAAATTGTTTAACTGCACTATACAGATCTATCGGTTTTAGGATTATTAACTAAAACCTTCCTGCTACACTCCATCTGCCATTAGTATTTTATTTTTTTAAGACTATATAGTCCTGCTTGGCCTGGAACTCGTTATATAGACCAGGCTAGCCTCAAACTCATAAAGATTTACCTGCCTCTGTTTCCTGAGTTCCTGAATTAAAGGTGTGTTTCACTGTCTATTTTTGTTTTTTCGCTTTTTGTTTTTGAGACAGGGTTTCTCTGTTGTAATAGCCCTAGCTGCTCTGGAACTCTCTCTGTAGGCCAGGCTGGCATTGAACTCACAGAGATCCCCTTGCCTCTGCCTCCCAAGTGCTGGGATTAAAGTCATGTATCACCACTGCCCAGCCCTGCCTGTCTGTTTTTTTAAAGTGTATTTTCATGTAGGCACCAGAAAACCATTTTGTGTGTATTTCTGTTTCACTCTCTACTTTATTGTGCGTGCATGCACGTGTGTGTGTGCGCGCGCGCGCGCGCGCGCGTGTGTGTGTGTGTGTGTGTGTGTGATACAGTTAAGCTCTTTTTGTCACAGCCTGCACTCTGTTATGACTCCCTTATCTCCTAGAAGATTACCAGGGTTTGTATATACTGTGGTTCCCTCTTCCACAGCCCAGACACTTCTGCTGAATGTCAACCTTGTATGGTGACATCTCCATGGTTTTGCTGTTCTCAAAAATCCCTTATGACAAAGCAATACAGAGAAACCCTGTCTTGAACCCCCCAAAAAATCTCTTATGTTTCCCCCAGTAAAACACTGTACCCTCTCACTCCTGATCTTCCTGCCTCTATTTCCTCAATTCTTTCAAAAGAATTATTAGTTTCTTTATATGGTTGTATAGTTCTTTCCTCTTCTTCACTGGGTTACTGAGGCAGAATGGACATATTCAGAATGTATTAAAATTTCAAAGAATTCATCAAAATTTAATTTAAGATATTTATTTTAAATTATCTATATGGAGGGATGTTGATTTATGCATGTAAGTGCTTGTGGATGTCAGAAGAGGGCATTGTATCCTGTAGAACTGGAATGTCATTGCTTAGAAGGATTGGTTACAACTTGTTATTGGTAATGGTTAGGAAAAAGATGAATAAAGGAGATTAGATTCAGGGCTGAGTGGTGGTGGCACACACAGAGGTAGGTGGATCTGTGTGAGTTTGAGGCCAGCCTGGTCTACAGAGCGAGTTCCAGGACAGCCAGGGCTGTTACACAGAGAAACTCTGTTTCTAAAAAGCAAAGTGTGTGACTTTGTTGAAGGATGTGCCTTGACTCTGATGTTTCAAAAGACTCATACCATTCCCAGTGTGTCAGCCCATTTCTGCTTCCTAATTGTGGATCAATATGTGATCTCTGAGCTACTGTTCCAGTTCCATGCCTGCCCATCTGTTATTATGATTCCTGACATGATCAACATGGACTCTTTCTTCATAAGTTGTCTTGGTCATGGTGTTTGATCACAGCAATAGAAAAGTAACTAAGACAACTGGTGTCAAATAAAACTAGGATTTTAAAATAGATGTCCTTCCACAATCTCTGACCCCCCCCCCCAAACAGCATGGTCACATCTGTCACAGCAATACTCCAGTGTCCTGGTTCCAACTTCTGGCCTAGTTATGGTTAATATTGCCTTGATGAAACACCATGACCAAAGCAACCTGGGGAGAAAAGAGTTTATTTCAGCTTGCATTTCCAGGTAACAGCCTATCATTGAAAGAAGGCAGGAGCTGATGCAAAGGCCATAGAGGTGTGCTGCTTGTTGGGCTAGATTCTCCAAGGTTTGCTCAGCCTGCTTATAGAATCCAAGACCACTAGTCCAGGGATGGCACCACCCATAATGTGCTGTGACCTCCCCTATCAATCACTAATTAAGAAAATGCTCTACAACTGGTAGGTGTTTTCTCAAAGGAGATCCCCTTGTGTTAAGATGACATAAAACTAGCCAACATGCCCCATAACAACAAAAAAGGAGAAATCCAATACTCCAAAGAAACAAAATCACATCATGTGCAGATACTGAACTCCTCCCCAGAGCAGGAAATAGACCTCCAGTTGGCATTTGCTGCTCTCCAGGAGTGTCTGGGTATTCTTATCTTGCTCAATGTTAACAGTCTTTAGTTCCTCAGAAACAAATATGTACGAAACATTTGTGAAAAAAAAATATTTGCAAAACAGCAATTAACCTTTTTCTGATTTTCATGACTTTCTGCCTGAATCACCATCAGTGCGTGAGACATTCTGGGGCTCTGCAGGGATGTTCACAAGAGCAGCACTTCCTTTTTTTGCCCCTTCAGCTCCTTTCCTTTTCATGACACCTGAGCTTGTGGACATGATTGGATCTAGGCTCAGTTAATGAGGAGAGGCAACTGGGAGAGGTAAAGGGCAGGAGCTCAGAACACTATAGTGAACAAGCTACCTTTAGTCCCTGAGTCTTGGCAGAGGCCTGGTGACACAGACTTTTCTGGATGTGCTCCTATGACAACAGTCAGTAGACTCTCGCAGGAAGGAAACGGAGCTGTGATAGGGCTGGATGGCATGGGGATAGTGGTGTCCTCTAATTGTTGAGTGAATCCTCTAATTGTTGAGTGAAAGTTGACCTCACTGCTTCCTGAGTTGGGCCTCACCTGGGTTGGGCCAGTTGCTTTGGGGCACAAGACCTGGCATGGTGATTTGCAGTGATGATGTTCTGAAGAGGGGACAGGCCATGACCTAGAGCCAAGGGAGGCCTGTCTGAGGAGGCAGCATACCAGACTAATTAATGGAGTGAGGGTTGAACTGAGTTGACATGTAGGCAAAGAGGGTCAGTGCATGCAGAGGCCAGGGAACACATGCAGAGGAGGGAAAGAGAGTTGGAGAAAGAGGGGCCAGAAATATCAGTCTCTGCAAAGACTCCTACCCTGCCATGGAGTGGCATATATGCCTCTTGGAGCCACATGACTTCAGCAAGGTGCAAAAGAGGAGGAGCAGGAGCTAAGGGTGGAAGCTTAGGCCACTGGTGGACACTTATGCCACGTCACCATTGTGTTGATATCAAGGTTTCAAGGACCAGCAGACACTAGGAAATAAGCTGCTGTATAGCAAATGGCCCAGACAATCTGTTTGTGGACAGCACATTAAAACAGTTCAGGGAAAAAACAAAACAAAACAAACAAACAAACAAACAAACAAAAAAAACCCCAGCCAGGCCTCTATATTGCAACACTTCTGGACGAAGTCACCGTTGGTGCAAAGGCCCTGGGGCCACCCAGTGGACTACCAGGGCACTGGAGCATCCAGTAGTCATCAAGCATAACTAAGGAGCCAGACAGTGGTGGGTGGCCAGAACCCAGGAATTGCCTTACAAGGAGCTCTGCAGTGCTGCAGCCACAGGCACCAACCGAGTGCTCCGCTGCCCAGGGTTCGCGGGGACGCGCGCTAAGGGGGCGGGGCCGGCGGGGCGCGGGCGGGGGGCTCCGCGCAGCAGCTACTGCGCTAGGCGACATTGCGGCAGCGGCAGCTGCAGGTCTGCACCACCTGCCTGAAGCTCTCTCTGGGTTGGGGGCAAGCAGAGTAGCAGGGCCAGGGCATACAGGGTCCAGGCCAATGGCCGGCCGTCTTAGCTCTGCAGCCTCCCCCACCCTCACGCACACCTGTCACGCCCGGCGCGCCCCCTGCCCGCACGCGCGCGGCCCACGCAGCTCTGGACGCAGGCGGCCGAGGTTGCTGAGTCCCTCGACTCCGAGTCGCCAGGGGCCAGGCAGTGGTTGGGTGGCTGCGGTCGGTCGTGACAGGTGGCTGCAAGCAGGGTCTCAGGTGCATTCTAGAGGGTTGGCCTAGGTGGTGTATGCTAGAGCTGTGCCACGGAGGCAGGTCTGATGGGGGAGGGGCAGGGGCCTTTGGGGTGGAAGTGGGCCTAGATGAGCCAGATGGGTGTGTATGGAGCCTTCTGGAAAATAGCCTGCAGTGCTGACTCAACAAGGGGATGTTGTAGTGTTGGTGGCTAACACTACTGTGCTCTGGATGCTGGAGTCGGGGAGCACAGGCTGGCAGCAGTATACCTGGGTGGGAAGCCTGCATGCAGTGGCCTGCCTCAGTGGGAGTGTGATTCTGGTTGTGGGGGAGGGGAAAGGTGTTCTTGGGCTGGGGAGTGGGGTGACCCCATCCTGAATTGGGAGACGATCTGGCTTGGTGGAAAGGAGCTGCTCATTGCCAAGGGCCCTCGCTCCACCTCTCACCCCCACCCCCAGACATGCTGCTGCTCAAGAAACAGACGGAGGACATCAGCAGTGTCTATGAGATCCGGGAGAAGCTGGGCTCGTGAGTGTGCATGCTGGGCTGTGGGAGTGACCACTTCCATATGTGAGGCATGTGCACATGTGAGCAAATGTGTGAGGGAACATTTGAGTGGTGAGTGTGGTATGAGTGTGAACATGGTGGTGAATTTTGAGGTATGTTGTTGCCTGTGTGGGAGGTGGTATGTGAATGTTGGTGAATGTGTGTGAGGTGGTGTGGGGATGTGTGTGCGCATGGGTGTGTCAGGGTGGGTGGTATGACCTGAGTGCCTCCTCCATTTCCATTCTTCCTCTCACTGGCACCTTCCCATTTCCTTACTGCCTCCCACAATCTTGCAGGGGTGCCTTTTCTGAGGTGATGCTGGCCCAGGAAAGGGGCTCTGCTCATCTTGTGGCCCTCAAGTGCATCCCCAAGAAAGCACTTCGTGGCAAGGAGGCTCTGGTGGAGAATGAGATCGCAGTACTCCGCAGGTGCTCCTGCCTGTCCCTTTGGTTGGGAAGACTTGTGGTCACGGGCTGAGACCTCTGGACCTGGTTGGCAATCTGCAGGGGGCCCTTAGGTGTCTCTTCTCATTTGAGTCTGCATTGTCTCCATGGCAACATTAGAGTCACCCTATCCATCTGTGTTTTATAAATGGCCTACAGAAGTGTGTGTTCTAGGAAGGCCTGGACTAGTGGGGGCAGGGATTGGTAGGGAATGGGAGCCCAGGTGAAGGAAGAGAAGAGGAGAGGGCTCAGGACAGAGCTCTTACAGATGAAGAGGCTTCAGTGGTCCACAAGGAGCCTTTTCTCTCTATTGCAGGATCAGCCACCCCAACATTGTGGCTCTGGAAGATGTTCATGAGAGTCCTTCTCACCTCTACTTGGCCATGGAGCTGTGAGGGGGATTGCTGGGGGGGGTGGGTGGTGGGCAGAAAGTGTACAATGCCCAGATTCATGCCTGGGTTAGTTGACCTCTTGCCTCATTCCTTCTGTCCCTAGGGTGACAGGTGGTGAACTGTTTGATCGTATCATGGAGAGGGGCTCCTACACAGAGAAGGATGCCAGCCACCTTGTAGGGCAGGTCCTTGGTGCTGTCTCCTATCTTCATAGCCTGGGCATTGTGCACCGGGACCTCAAGGTGCCTGGTTGTGCTCCCCATCATCTCACCTACCTCTGGCCCTGAGTGTCTTCTTTCTCAGTGTCCACTTCAATCGGGGTCTGGGGAAATTAAGAGTGCTGAGGCCCACCCTGTCCCAATGCCCTAACCATTCTGGACTCATGGGCCCTTCCTCTGGCCCCAATGTGTCAACAGCCTGAAAACCTCCTCTATGCCACACCCTTTGAGGACTCCAAGATCATGGTCTCTGACTTTGGCCTGTCCAAAATACAAGCTGGCAACATGCTAGGCACAGCCTGTGGGACCCCAGGATATGTGGGTAAGAGGGAAGTGCTCTAAGGCTCACAGTGGTGGGGAGTTGGTGACCCTGGGGTTGCCAAAGCTCCAGGACCTGGGGCAATCTACTCTTGGGGCCGAATAGATACACCAAGTGTGGCCCTCAAGGGCATGACATGTGTGCATGCCTGTGCAGACATGTCTGTCTGTCTGTCTGCCTCTGGCCGCCAGCCCCAGAGCTCCTGGAGCAGAAACCCTACGGGAAGGCTGTAGATGTGTGGGCCCTGGGTGTCATCTCCTACATCCTGTGAGTGACCGCTGGGACGGCTCAACTCCTACCTGCCTGCCCCTGCTGGGTTGGGGAGGGGTGGACACCTGGGTGATTCATCTGTGGGTGCCAGGCTGTGTGGGTACCCCCCCTTCTACGACGAGAGCGACCCTGAACTCTTCAGCCAGATTCTGAGGGCTAGCTACGAGTTCGATTCTCCCTTTTGGGATGACATCTCAGAATCAGGTGAGTACAAGGCTGGCCCTGTGCTGAGGAGTGACAAAGGGCATCAGGGACAGGGCAGACTGACCTTGGCCCCTGTTCCAGCCAAAGACTTCATCAGGCACCTGCTGGAGCGTGATCCCCAGAAGAGGTTCACCTGCCAACAGGCCTTACAGCATCTTTGGTGAGTGGGATGCCTGGCAGGTGGTACGGGAGCAGGAGTGATACCTGTGCCAACTCTCAACCTTTCTCTAGGATATCTGGGGATGCAGCTTTGGACAAGGACATCCTGGGTTCTGTCAGTGAGCAGATCCAGAAGAATTTTGCCCGGACTCACTGGAAGGTGAGCATAGAGAGACTACTATGTTCCTGTTTTAGGGTGTGACTACTGATATCTTGATGGTGCTCTTAGAATTGTTCTTGTTGCTGTGTCCAGCTTGACCTGACCCCATTCTCTTCCCACAGCGAGCATTCAATGCCACATCATTCCTTCGTCACATCCGTAAGCTGGGGCAGAGCCCAGAGGGTGAGGTGGCCTCCCGGCAGTGTATGACCCGTCACAGTCACCCAGGCCTTGGGAGTAGCCAGTCCCATCAGTGGTGAAAACCAGGTGTGTAGGCCCTGCATCCTCTGGGAGCTGACTTTTAGGGAGCCTAGGGGATGGCAATGAACTAAGTGGGGTCTGGAGGGTCAAGATCAGAGAGTGTCAGAGAAGGAGAAACTGGGCAGAGAGTTACAGCAGACATCTGTGCTAGTGGGGTAGGGGTATGACCTCTATGAAAGGAAAGCCAAGGTTTGAGTAAGATGCTAGGAAGGATCCAGGAAGGCTGGGCACCTCTTGAACCTGTTTTCCTCTGCTTCCTTTTTCTCCCCTCCACCCAAGGAGGATGCCAAAGAAGGCCAAGTGGACTGACTTCCAGCTTTTCTTTCCTCTGCCCTTTTGGTCTCCTTCCCTGCCCCTTGTCCCCTAGGCTGGCCTCTGCTGGAAAGTTTGAGAGTGTGGGTGTGGTGCATGGCACTGGGATAGGGGGCTTCCTCAGTATGTCCCCTAGCCTCTCCCCTCCCCATGTTGCTATGGGAACTGAGGTATTTGCAACTGGATTGGGGAGCCATCCTTCTGTATCTTGCACGCACACATGCATCACTTGGCTGTTCTGTGCTTTGCTGACTGTGGGTGGTCCTGCTTGTGTCATCGCCCTTCAGTTCCTTCTCTTCCCAACCAATAAAGACAAACAGAGAAATGCCTTGGTGCTAAACTGAGTCTGGGATGAGTGTGAGATTGTGGGTCACCTCAAGGAAGGACATGAAGAAAGCAAGTCCACTGCCAGTGGTTCTGCACTGGGTCTTGTGCTCCGCCTCCTGTACCTCTCCTTGCTGTGATCGTGGCATAGGCATGCTGGGTTATTCAAGGACTTCCAGATTCTGTCCCCCAGAGTGTTGCCAGCAAGAGGTTGCCTGGCTGCCTGATTGCTTTGGGTCTGACAGAAAAGTAGATGCCAGCAAGGTCTACTGGGCTACCAGCAGGGGGCGATGGCAGAACACATAATTCACCAGCAGCAGCGTCTACTCAAGATCACTCGGGCTGTATAGATATGCCGGGGCTGGAAAGGGCTCAAGCCTGTAGGGAAGGTGACTAGAATTCAGGATACTTTCCTTTACTACTGCTTCTGGTGTGACAAACTGTGGGCTGTCCTCTGGTTCTACTGGCCCTAGCCCCATTTATCAGTGGGCCAGGGTTCCAGAAGCCTGCCTTCCTGGGCCCAGTCAGGGGTAGGCCTCAGCCACCCAGAGTTTGGAGAAGGCTCTGCTTCCTCTTTCTCCCTTTGCTCTAGTTTCCAGTATATGAGCTGGATGACAGAACCTGACTGGGATGAATGTGAGAAGTCCCAACTTGTTAAATTTTGGGATCCAAAGGGAGGTAGTGAGGCCCAAGAAAATTCTGGCCTGGGTTTCTGGGGGCAGAGGTTACTCTGGGTTTCAGGATTGGAAAGAGGGGGCCTGGAAGCAAGTGAGCAGTTTCCTCCACTGTCTTCACTCCAGGCTATTCTGTGCTTCATACTTTGGGACATGTATCTCTGGCATGTTTGCCCAGTGTTCTGATGTTCCCTCAATAGGGTCAGTGGAGGAAAACCTTGGATGTCCAGTACCATAAATGAGTCTCAGCAGCTTGGTTCACTCACTTCCAATGACCTGTCCTGGGACTTCATTGTCTTTTGGTCACCTTTGCCAGTCTCTTTTTGACTGCCCCTGCATCTCATCTTTTCCCTCAGTTGACCATGACACCTACCCATTCTTATTCTGTTGATGCCATACTGCTTGGACTTCTACACTCCAAGGGGAGGATCTTAGTGGGTGAAGAGTGTGGTTTTATGAGGACGACTGTATAGAAAAAATATTCACCTGGCTACTCTGGGAGCCCTGCACACAAGCATCAGAGCTACCCTTCCAGAAAAAATCAGCTGGTGCTCTTCCATAGGGCTGGGTCACTTCTCTTCTGCCCCCCTGCTGCAATGGCCTTGACACAGGATGCAATTTGACCTTACTACCAGCAGGGGATGCCACAGACACATGTTTAGACATTTGTAAGCCACTTCTTATTCCTTAGTACCCGTGGCATTGTCTCAACTTCATTCATTGCCTGCCAGCCCCCTAAACCCTGCCCTAGATAAATCTGAATTGGGGAGAGAGGTTCATCCTGATCATGTTGGAGAAGCGTGCCAGGGACACTCAGAGGCATGTTCTTCATCCTCAAATCATCTCATTGGAGGAAGAGTTTGTGAGAGCAAAGCTTTGGATCACCTGGCAGAGGAACTGCCTGCTTTGTTGGCCGGAACAGGAAGGTAGGGGTACTAAGATATCATTGCAGGCTCAGGCACTGAGGCTGGTCAACACAGGAAGGAGCCACACCAAAATGTGGGAGAGGAAAGCCTGTGAGCTATGGTGCTAGTGATGTGTAGATCGCAGGGAGAGCTGGGCTTGAAATGCCTGTAACAGTCAGGTGCTGTGAACAAGGAGCAGGGTTTAGTTTTTCAGGGACAGACAGGAATTCAGTGATACCTCTTGTAGGTGTCACAAGAGAACATCGTCTCCCCAGATCTTGGCCAAATAGGACTCATACTCTCTCCTGGAGAACATGTGAATAGCAGAGGTTTTAGAGGAGCTTAACTTGTAGGGCTATATGGATGACAGATAGGAACTGGTTTTGTTGTTATTTTGAGACTAAGTCTCATGTAGTAGACTTGACTGCCCTCAAACTTGCTATGTGGCCATGGATGGACTTCAACTTCTGATTTTCAGTCTTGTACTTCCTGAACCTCAACCCCAGCCTGAGATAGGAGAATTTTAGGAGTTGATTAGATGGCCCTGGCAACAGATCTGGAGAAAGATTCAATGGGGATGGCTTTGTGGGAGAGGTAATGAGATCACGTTTGGACATGGTAAGTTCAAGATGCCCAAGGGATCCAAAAATAGAGAAAAAGCAACTTGCTCTTCACCCTTCTCTTAACAAATATATATCTAGCTATATAGATAATATTTATGTAAAGCTTCTTTCTCATAATAAAAAGAAATCTGACAATGACTCTTTATTGGGCACTTACATTATATCACGCTTTGGAAAGCTTAATGTATAGTCACGTAAAGCTCACTTGTGAATGAGCTGGCTATTGTCATTATCATCACCCTCACCGTTACTGTGGGGGAAACTGAGGCATAGAGACACTAAGTAACTAAGCCAAGGCCACACAGTTTGTGGCAGAGTGAGAATCTGAAAACTGTTCTCTCACCCTGTTTCTTTGTGAAGGATGGGACATAAGGACTGAAGAAAGGGAGAGTTCTCTCTTGCATCTTCTTATCAGTGTTCCCAAGGAGAGAGAATACCAGGCTAGATTTCAGTTTTGTTTTTAAAGGATTTTGTGTAATTGTTACCATTCTCTGTGACTTCATTTAGCGTTGTGTTAAATAGAGATCAGGGAAATCTTCCTATGGTGGTAGGGGTAGGAAAAAAGATCTGGGCCCTACAAAGATCCCTCTAGAGTTCAGAGTGAAGAATGGCCCAGAAGTGGAGCAGAAATGGTGACTGGGAGACAAACATTTCTGGGTTCACATGACACAGAGAACCTTTAGCTGAGGTGGGACTCAGGGGAGGTTAGCTGTTAGGGGAAGGGCAGGAGTGGGTCATGGCTAAGTCAAGGATGTGGCCAAGAATCAAAAAGAGCTAGGGATGAAGGTTCCTTGGACAGAGAGTGACTGAGTTGGCAACATAGCCACAAGTTCCTTCCTGCCAGGCATATATCCAAAGGACATGTTGCAACCACATTCTCTACCCAAGCTTAGATTTAGGTTCTCCATCCCTAACCCCAGGAGAGCACTTTATTTTATGTGTATGAGTGTTTGCCAGAATGAATATTTGTACACCATATGTATGTCTGGTGCTCTCAGAGGACAGAAACACAGGGAAAAGATCCAATGGAGCTAGAGATACAGACAGTTGTCAGCCACCATATGAATAGAACCTGGGTCCTCTAGAAGACCAGCAGCAGCCAGTGCTCTTAACCACTGAGCCAGGTCTCCCAACTGTCCTTGCAGTTCTTTGATTTTCTACTTTATGCACTTTTCAGTTCCATGTTTCAGGTTGGTTTTATACTTTATTAAAAATGCAGTACTAAGATTTCCTTTGCCGTAAAATCAACTTTGTCAATATTAATATAGCAACTACTACTTACTATTAATATTTTCTTACTTAAAAAATCCTTTTCCTTCCAAGATTAAAATTTTTTATTGGGCTGGAGAGATTGCTTAGTAGTTAAGAGAACTTGCTGCCCTTGCAGAGGGTACAGGCTCAATTCCCAGCACCTGCAACTGATTCACAACCATCAATAACTCCAACACCCTCTTCTGGCCTCCAAGGGCATGAGGCATGTATATAGTACACAAACATATATGAGGACAACATACTCATATACAAATAGTAAAACAAATCTTTAAAACCCTGAGTGTGGTGATGCAGGATTTTAATTCCCAGTACTGGGAGGCAGGCAGATTTCCATGAGTTTGAGGCTAGCATGGTCTACAGTGTGAGTTCCAACTAGCCTTGTCTGTACATGGAGACCCTGTTTGAAAATTAAAAAAATATTTTTTTGGGATAGAAATCACACAGCACAAAATTCACTCTTTAAAGTGTAAAATGTGGCATAGGCCTGTAATCCCAGCACTCAGTAGGTGGAGGCAGAAGTGCAGGGGTTCAAAGTTTTCAAGAACAGCCTGGGATTCATGAAATATTGCTTATTCTCAGTCTCAATATCATGTACAGTTCAATGAGTTTCATAACCATCACCACTGTCTAACCCCAAAATATTTTCATTACTACAAAAGTAAACCCCATACCCATGCTAGCCCCTGCCCACCACTAAATTACTTTCTATTTCTGTGGATTTGCTTTACTCCAGAATTTTAAATAAATATAGTCATGCTACTTATGGGCTTCAGTGTTTGGTTGCTTAGCCTTAGCATACTGTTTCATTGTAGTATACTTCATTAATTCTTTTAAACAGTTGAATAATATTCCATTTATGATTCAGTCACATTCTGTTTATCCACTAATAGATGTTTGGGTTATT